AGGTCCTACCAAGAACAAGGGCATTAATTATCATCCTGTTTATGGCATACCCTTGCCCCTTCTGCTGCCTCCCCTAAAAAGCACGCCAAAATATGGCCCAGCTATCTCCCTCCTTTTTATGCTGACATGTATGCGGTGGTTGACCTAGTTATCTTTGCCTCAGAATAAACTCAGTCATCACTAGCATCAATCTCTTTACCTGAGAGAACTGGGAATTACGGAGGCTGTATCTGCAGTGTGGGGCACACTCTTCTGTTTCCAGGTTTTGCATCCTGACACCTTGAAATTTGGTGTTGAAAACGTAACGAAGTTTGGCAGCTATTTTGTGGTCTTTCAAATGTTGTCTGACTCTGCATGTTCTGTGAAAGCACTGGTATTGTAATTCGGTAATGTTACTGTAGCTGTGATGATTTAAAGGTATGAGAGATGCGCAAGTTGTGTGCAACAGCGATAAAAATCTTTTCCTGTACATTGTCTAAAAGTGACATGTAAGTAGCTTTCTAGGCAGCCAGTTGCACTGCAGTTTTATTTGAAGTTTCCCACATATTAAGGGTAAACCCAGAAAATAATACTTGTTGAATAAATTGTCAGGTTGATACTAACACCCCTTTTTAAAAAAAAATACCCTTACTTTTCAGACACAGAATCAGTTCCTTAAGTAACTCCAGGATAGCCAGGAGTTGCTCAAAAACAACCCAGAAACATAATTTTTGAGGCATCTGTAAACATGCTTTTGTTTCTGTAATGAGATAGATTTTTCTTGTCCCAAAGCAGAAGGTCTTGAAAGTGCTCTGAAGAGAGTTGGACAAAGTGCTATTTCTCAATGTTAATGTATATATCTGTAACAAAACATCTTAATTCTGTATTTGATGGGTTCCAACATTTCTAGTACCGGGTTGTGAAGAATATAGTGATTTTTGGTGTCATTGAAGAAACACAGTGATAGAAATTGAGGAGTGCAGTCTCCTTGTGGCTGTTTTAGTAGTGCAAGCAGTTTTAGTTTCTGTTGTGATTGTGGATCAAAGACTTAGTTCAGGAGCGGCATATAATGCCCTTTAACAGAGCCCTCCAGCCTGCTCCTGCCTTCTCTCCCACCCTCCCTGTAGCAGGAGATATGTGAACCCTGAAAGAAGTCCTTTCCCCTGCCCCCTTTTTGTCCCCTGTTTATTTATTTATTTAAGAAAGAAGGAGGAATGGGATGTCTCAGATGCTAGAAGTCTGGGGAGTACAGAGGGGTACCTTGATGTAGAGGGTGAAAGGAGGTCATGAGAAAAACAGTGTGGGATAAAATTGATGACCTTACATGGGAAGAGCAAGCTTGGGTAGAACACAGAAATCGTAAAGGATCCTCAGAAATAGAAAAGTTATTGTGGAGGTGCAGAAGCCTTGACATAAAAGGGAAGGAGAGGAAGGTGGATGTTTGCTGGATATGGAGCAAACCTGAAAGGATATACCCAAAAAAGCATTTGCGAAGGGGAAAAGATGGAGAGCAAGGTGGTCCTGATGTATTTCGTATGTTTGGTTTATAGGATTAATTAAGTGATCTTGCATTAGGGCAGTTTCCTTTTTCATTGCTTTTTCTGTGTAGAGAACCTGAAAAAAATTTTGAAGGGGAAATTTGTTACTCTACTTTTTCCTCTTTTAGTCCGAAAGCCTTTTCTACATGGGAAAGACAGACATTTCAAACTGTATTTAGTTCATCTATTGCAAACTTGTTTCCTGTAATTTTAAGCTAACGTGGAAAAGTGTGTTTTAACCAATAAAGCTTTTTACATCATTTACATTTGTTTGGCATCAAACTAAAGTAAACTGGTTGTGTCTTCCTTAAAGTTTAAAAACCCTCTCATGTTAGGCAGGACTACTCTGACTATTGCAGGTTTTTCTAGAGTATATCTGTGGGTATCAGAAATTTTTGTGAGCTCTTGAACCTTGCTAAAGAACTAACTGTTTTTGAGTGCTTGAAGAAGTCTGGGGTGGTTTCAAGACACAGGTTCAAAGCTGGTTGCTATCAGAAGGCAACAAGCAAAACAAAAAAAGCATTTGCAGAACTGATGAAAAATCTCTTCCTTTCTCAAGTACATGTTTAATTTTGACTCTTGCGATGCCATTGCGTTACTGAATGTCTAGCTGAGAAGACAGGGCTTGAACTTCTAATTTTGAAAGTCTTCTTAGCGGATCAGCAGTCTTATTTCCTCTTTTTGTGCTAAAAGGGGGAGCAGGAGTGTCTGTGGTTTGTGACCAAAAGTGTTTTGGGAGTTGCATTATCAATGTAAAATTTCACTAAAAATTTGAAAGTGGAAAAGGAGCCCAACCTTTTAATACGGTAATCAAAGTGCTGCATTGGGCTTCAGGCTGAATAATTCAACTTTCATTTGTTCTTGGGTTTAAATAAATATATTAGTGGTGATCTGATAACAGGTTGTTGCTGGTTTAGTCTGTAACAAAGTAATTCAAGAGTTTGTGTGTAGTTCTGTGTGAAGTGTTGAGTTGGTCATATGACAGAGAAAGTAAACTGTCCTGTTCATTGCCACGGATTTAAGAAGTCAGGCTTGTGATAGAAGCTCTGCACAGTATTTCTCTGGTATACCCCTCAAACTGTTTCAGCTGGAAATCTTCAGAAATCCTGTCTGCTTGCTAGTGCTCTGGCAGATGTATGAGCGTTTTTCCTATTCATAACTGCTTTGGAGTGCTTTCATTAAAATAAATAATTATTGACTGTGAGAATCAGATTAGAAACTGGAAATAACAAAGAGAAAAATTTAATTCACTCTCTTTTAAGCAAAGTGGAAGTGACATTCTTACGTGAAAATACCTTTTCTGAAAGTTCATCCAAACAGCTGCCTTGTGATGTTAGCATAATAAAGTAATTTAGAGATCCTACTTCTGACTGTTAACTGCTTTGATTTGCCATAGGATGATGCCAGGTGCAGAAATAGCGTTCAGGAGACAATACCCATCCACGGAACAGCCCTGCATTTTTTGTGTGTCTTTACACCGGTTTAGCTGGCTGCTAAGGTGCTTGCACTTGCAAAACCAGAAAGTCTGCCCTCCGAGAAGGGGGTTGCATTGGGCGGCTGCTCAGCGTCCCCAGGGGGAGGGAAGGCAGAGCCCTGCAAACAGGGAGGCGGTGAGGTGGTGCTTTTCTGCATGGGGGCGCAGGCCGTGCCGTGCCTCAGGTCCCTGACGTCGTGGCTCTTAGGGGTGCCAGGGTAGAGGCTAGCAGGAGTAGGGTCTACTGTTTATAAAATACTGGTAAGCCTGGGAGTGATGTAGGAAATTATTCTTGCAGCAGACCTTGCTGCTCTTGAGTATCCCAGGGGAAATCTACAAAGACTTTGGGAAGATTTGTCTTTTAATGGGAACTTTTTTTTAATAATGGGAATAGTTTTTAATAACGGTGCTGCGTCAGCTCATGGATACCTTGCTAAACTACCTTGGGTTAAGGTGGAACTTTCACTTGGGCCAGCTAACTCCTAGTTAGTCCGTGCAGATATCTAGTTGTGGCTGCCCCTGGGTTGGATTATGACACTTGGTAGATGATAAATCTGATCCACTGTGTCTGTGAAGAATATAGCTTTTTTGTGACATTGCCTTGGGAAGGAAGTTGTTTTCTGAGGGCCTGAGTTTGTTCTGTCTTGTATCATTATAATTTGGTGGCAATTTGTGCATGCATTTAACTTGTTCTGCAAAGAGGTAATACGTATTCAAAGCACCAGAAGACTGGAACCGCAAAATCAGAACTAGTTCAGTAGAGGTTGTGGTTCTTTGCATTTTTGCTGAAAGCAAAAAAGAGAGAGAAGGAACTTTTAAAACAGTGACATGTCCTAAGCATTACTCCATGAGGTGATTTAAGCAAAAAAGAGAGAGAAGGAACTTTTAAAACAGTGACATGTCCTAAGCATTACTCCATGAGGTGATTTAAGCAAAAAAGAGAGAGAAGGAACTTTTAAAACAGTGACATGTCCTAAGCATTACTCCATGAGGTGAATTGTTTTCGCCAGTATCACCTGCTATTCACCAGGTTTCTGTTATTGCCGTAATAGACTACCTTTTTCTCTATGATACCTTACATGAATTGAGGCAATGAAGCCAGCTGATTTTATTTAATAAAAAACTTCCGTTATTTGCAGTAACGACTAATATCCTGGAAGTGTTTATATCATTTTTAAAAAGTTATGCTTAAGCCATGTGAAAGACTGCCTCATGTTAAGCGAGTTTGTGCACAAGTGGGCTGCTGTCGCCTCTTATGATATTTACTGTTTGAAATGGGAGAAGCAAGAAAAGTCGCACTGTAGCCAGTGGTAGTGTAGTTTTGCCAGTACTTTATCACGGGAAGATCAGGGAGCGTGGTGATGGTGTTCTGTCAGGTACTTGATCACGCAGAAGCTATAGAGTGAATGCTTATAGTTAAAAAGTTAGATGGTGTCACGTTTCGTGGGCATTTTTTTATTTGCTTTTTTTGCCCTGGCATCTGTTGTGATGGCATGCCTCAAGTTACTCTTCTTACATTTTAGTAAGACTTTAGTCAGACTTTAATAAGGTGGAGAGGATTATCTGTAGCAGTCTGTTTTATTGGTCATGCTTGCACTGTATTCATGTAACTAAAAAAAAAAAAATTCTTAAAATTTTGCCCACACAATGTGTCCTGAAATATGTATCAAACTGAGGAAATGTGTTCTCAGAGACTTCCTTGTTAGTTATTTAAGAAGCCAAGAGGGGATGATCCCAGGAAATTAAGCTGTTGTCTCAGTCCTGTAATTGCCCTGCGATATGATCTTGTGTTGAAATGGTATCTTTCCTCTAGATGAAACCTTCTGAGCTATTGCACAGCATGGGGGTTTTATAAAACACACAGCCTGAAAGTTCACAGCTCTGTGAAAGGGACTTGAGTTACAGTGAGGAGGAATATTCCCCTTGTAGCTATAAAATTGTCATAATTTCAAGGACACTGCTGTAGTGCCCTTAGCAAAAGCTCAAAGCTGCTACTTGTGTTGGGCCTGATGGAGGACGAACAGGTGGATAATGGGGAATGTAACAGCAGGGTAACAGTGAAAAAGGAGAGCTGATACACAGCAATAATTACGTGTTAATTAATGAGAAGAAGAGGGAGGCAGGTAGATGTGGAATGTAAATGCTGGGAAGAGACTGACCGAGAGGAAGAGAAAACGTGGGGGTCCCTAGGTCTCAGTGAGTGCCCCCGCGGTGGCTTGCCGCAGAAGAGGGCGGCTGCGGGAGGAGCACGTGGGGCTGCGTTTCTGTGGCGTGCAAGATGCTGCTCGCCTTATCCAGCCCTTTCTGGGTAGGGTGCTGTGGAGGTGAAGAGAGCCCCAGTCCTGCTGTCAACTTCACAGCTGGTTCCTGTCGGTGATGAGAAGGTTGACTGCTGGTGAAGCATCTGTCTGTACGTGGGGACCGTGTTACAGGGCTGGAGGCTTCAGAGCCTGGCTCTTTGTGAGTCTGCAGCAGAGCTGTTGAAGCCAGGTGTCAGCTTCCTGCCTGTAATTGCAGAAAGGGTGCTTAACAAAATGAAATTAATATCACAGCGGTAACACTGCACACACCATATGATGTATCAATTAATTTCACATGCCCCAGAAATGTACTGGAAATTCTGGAGATAACATTAAGCATGTTATCTCCTACCTCACTTAATTTGATTTTATTTGAAAAATATATTGAAGTGGATAGAGGGTGACTGAGAAAATGAACAGCATTGTGAATAGGCTGTTGCAAATGATCACGTTACCACAGCCTAATGAGTTAAGGCAATAGGAATGGGCATAAGCTACTACCTGGGTGGTTTTAACTGATGTGCTCTCTAATTGCAATGGGATAGAAATGAATGCCTTGTCAGCTGCCATTGTGCATCAAACTAGTAATAAATTAAGTTGCAGAAACCCAATGCTTTGGGAGCATCTGCTAGTTCATGTGCTTTTCTTAGGGCCTGCTACCATATAATGGTGCTAGTGTCTACCATAATGTCTGGTAATTCTGTTTTAAAAATGAGTAGCAGAGAAGGACTTGGATACTCTACATGGAAATACAGACTTTTGCACCAATGCTTGGGACACAGTCAGGTTTTCAGTAAGTTCAGCGAGTCCCAAAGAACGCGTGAGAAGCAGCTGTAGACCGGTGCTCGTAGGCGTTACTGTGCAGCTGTAAGTGATGCTAAGGCAGGGATTTATACAGCCGAGAAGCTATGTGCTGTAGGTGGGGTAAGCAGATATGGGAGAACATGACAGAGGTGGAAACAACTTTCGCCCTTCTGTTGCTTTTGTTGAAAGGAAGAAAGCGGGGAAAAATACTAGCCACCTTTATCCATAGGATTGCTAGGCTTTTGCAAACATGTATTTGTTGTCTTTCATTTGGGAAGAGTGTTAATCTGTTCCACCCTGTGTGTAATAACAACTCTGGGGGGGCTGTGTGCTTGCAGACCTACATTGGTTCGATAGTTGCCTCTGTGAACCCTTACAAGAGCATCCCGGGACTGTACGACTGCACTGCTGTGGAGCGATACAGCAAGCACCACATGGGAGAGATTGCACCTCATATCTTCGCTGTGGCGAACGAGTGCTACCGCTGCCTTTGGAAGCGCCACGACAACCAGTGTATCCTCATCAGGTAAATGGCTGCTGCTGCTTTGATTATCCCTGCTGGTAAGCCTTTCGAAGTGATTGAGGAACATGGGCCACGTGGAGAGGAGAACTCCAAAGGAAACCAGGCTTTTAAACCATCAGAGTTTCGGGAGAGATTTCTGAACTTGTTCTGTATCATTCTGTGGACCTCTAACAAAATGTTAATTTTTCTTACGCACCTTACAATTTCATTTAGTGAAAAAAAATCTATTGTATTTTTGTGCATTTTTTTGCTACTCACACATCTGATTCTACCCTAAGTGCTTTCCACACCAGTTTAAACATCCCTGTGCAGCTCAGTAGTTTGTTACCCTTAGATCCTGAACCCTGTGTCTAGAGAAAAGGAAAAAATAACCCACCGGTCTCAGGAAATGCGGTAAACAACAATAGCAAAAGAGAAAACCCTCCTCATTTCAGCCACTTAACTGCCTGATTAATCTTCCTTACTTAATCTTGTTGTGCTTTAATTTATTGGTGATTTAACAGCTTCCCGTTTGATCCACTGTGTCGCTGGTATTCAGGATCTCACTGCTGCTGAATGTACATTGAGAGCAGTTGGCTTTTCAATAGCTTTTCACTGCTTTCAGCTCCTTCCTTCTTGCTCCAGAAGAGCCGAAAATGCAGCCAGCTCTTTTCCCTTTCCCCTGCCTGCCAGCTCAGCTGCATTGGCTTGCAGCGGGCAGGGAAAACCGAAGCCTTGCCCACCGGATCGGGAGGAGCAGCTCGGTGGCGATGGCAGCGTGGCACCAGCTGTCAGGCTCCGGGGGGGGGGTGATGTCCAGGGGGGTGAGAGAGCTTGTGTTTTCCCTCCCTCTCCTCTCTCGCCTTTGCAGTGTTTTTGTGATTAAGCCTGTTTGCTCTCGCTTTCCTGCAGCCTACCAGCACAAGTTAAATGTGGAGAGCTCTTCAGACACAAGGTGGCATGATTTTGGCTGTCTCCTGACCTCCATGGGAGCCCTCGTGACAGCCATGGGACCATGGTATGGGGCAGCTGGTGGGGCAGAGAGGGGATGAGGCAAGTGAGAGCAGCACCTTTTGCAATAGGCAGTTTCTACTGACATTTAAGATCACAGGCCAGTTTGCAGGGCTTCCTGGATAAGAGGAGGATTTGGCGCATGTAATTTAGCACCCAAGCTGTTGTTAGAAATGTAGACCAGATGCAGCACAGCTAGGTCTAGTTCTAACTTTCTGCAAGCTCTCAGGTCGCAGTCCCTGCCTGCCCTCGCCTCTAGGCAGGTCCTGCCTGGCAGTGGCACAAAGACAGAGGGGGCTGTGTGTGTTTTTCAGCTTTCTTCAACTGTATTTTTCCTTTTTTTTTTTTTTTTTTTTAATACATATTGCTGTACATATAAAGCTGACTCCAGGTGTCACTCCGAGAAAAAATGAAATGCACAGAGATCTTTGTCATGCAAAAATAGCCAGTCTGGAATCATGATTTCATGGTGTAATGTCAGATAATAACTTGTGAATAGCCCACATACCCAAATTTTCGAGACCAAAATAATTTTTGGTGCCTAGAAGGTGGCCATTGTTATTTTTGTTAATGCCATTCTGTACTGGCCCAAGTATTTTACCTTTTCTTCCAGTTCCCCAGAGGCTGCCAAGAGAAAAGCAGGTTGTGTCCTAAAAAGGGCATAAGCAGAAGTGCCTGATGTTCCAGAGGAGTCTCCAGCAGTCCCTGTTCTGTAAACCATGTGCCTTGGTACAGATAAGCTATAATACGGAGAAGTTTTGCATTAGCAGTCCCTTTTAAAATTGTTTACTGTGGTCATGGCTTAAAACAACAATTTGTATAAGTTCAGTGTTCCAGGCCAGTGCCATAATACAGCCTTATAAGGGTATCTTGTTTCTACAGAAATTGAAGGAACATGCAATTCAAGACAAAAAATAAAAAATCAAATCTACTTTCCTAAAACACTATTACCTGTTGTATCTGTGAAGGAGTCAGTGCAGGTTTTTTTTTAAAATTACTGAAAGTTTTCAGTGGCCCTCATGAGGTTTAGAAAAGTCCCTGTGATCATATACTTAGTTTGGGGCATCAGAAGGGGAGGTATAACAGTGTGCTCATCATCTTCAGCATCCTGGTCATTCCTGCCTCTTTTACTGGCTTGGAATTAGATGTTGCAACAAGTCACTGTCAGGCTTTCTTGGTTACTACTCGCATTTGAAAAAAAAGGTCAGGTGGACCTCTGTAATGTCTGAATTCAAGCAAATATTCTGGTCTTGTATTTACTGTAAGAGATGATAAAAAGGAAAATTTTGTTCCATCACGAAAACTCAATAAACAGTTGCATCCAGTTAAAACGAGGGAATTGTTCGTATAGGCTTCATGTTCTGATACGCTCTCTTCACCTGCTCCTAACTTTGGGATCTAAAAACTCGGTGGCAAGTTGTAACAGACCCGTGAAATAAGGTACTGAACGCTTTCTTATGATCCTCTGGGCTTGAAGTGCCCCCTGCTGGCATCCAGAATTAGGTCAGCTTTGTTTTGGAGCTGCTTTCTTAAGGCACTGGGTTCAAAAACCTGTGGAAAAAGCTTCTACTGTTTTGAAATGCTTGGGATATTTGTCTGGGTGGGGTAAGATGGGAGGGTTAAGGCAAGAACCTGAATTAAAAGCTGTCATCAGTATGACTCAAAATGTAATATAAATGCGAGACATTTTCCAGTATAACCACCCAGACCAGAGGTGAAAAGGAAGGAAATACAGAAGAGATGATATTAAATGGAGTTATCCAAAGATGCTTATTTATTGGTCTGTGTTACACTGGCTTATTTTAATTCATGATAATGCTGCATAAAAATTACTTAGCAGCCTAAAATGTCAACAAAATGGCACATTGAAGAAGCTATGCACAACCTGTGTATTAGAATATTTACACAGTTGTGAAATGGTATTTTCGCATTCCCAGGCTAAAAATTGTTTATCTGGCTATTGAGCTAGAGTTTTCATGTAGACAAAAATGTCTACATCAACAAATGCTTAGTTTCATGTTGATCTGAACCTTACCACAGAGTCCAGTTTCACTTAAAACAGAAAAAAAAAAAAAAAGCCCACCACAGTTAAATTTGATGCTACAACAGACATGTTAAAAACCAAACCAAAACAAAAACCATTTTCTGATTTTTCAGCTGGGTGCCGTGGCAGGAGAATGAAGGGAGTCCGTCTTACTCAAGGAATAGCCGAACAGCTTGTCCTGATGTAGGGAAGGGACTGAGTTCCCCCATGATTAGCTGACATTCGCAAGTTGGGGCCAAGTTCACACCTCTACCCCTTTATTGTAAGAATAGGAAAATATCTTCAGGCATTTTTTTTGTTGCTGCTCTGTTTAAAGTGGTCTAGGCGGCGCACAAGCAAACACATGCTCTTCTCTCAGACACAATAGCAGTTGATCCACTTTAAAGCACTTGAAAAGAAGTGTAGAGCAGTCGAAGGAGCAGCAACAGTCACCCTGAATTACATTCAAGTCAGTGCTGTGAGTGGGAAATCACAGTCTGACACCAGTTTATTCTCTCTGTTATCATCCGACGGCCTGACATTTTTGTTGTTGTTGAGCTTGAAAATCAACGTGAACCAAAGTACTCTTTGGATGAGACCCAGACTTGTGACGGGAATACTTTCTTACGAGACTGATACAGCAAAATTCACATGTGCATCAAAGAACTTATTTGCTGAAGAAGCCTATTTTGCCTGTGTGTATCAGTCTTTGGGGTTTTAAAGCCAGCAGACAGAACTGAGAAGTGATTTAGAGGAGTGTTGATACCGCCTCACTCACGTTATGTCCTTCAGAACGAGGAGTCTCTCTCGGTGACCCTTTTTTCCACTGCAGCAGACTGGAGTCCAGGCTGCTGTGCCATTAGCGAGATGCCCTGCATGGAACAAGTCATGGAGAAAGTCTAAAGACCTCCTAAGTGGGGGCCTTGTGGGTTGCTGTCACACTGAATATATTCACAATACTGAGTGTAGTCATGTGGAACAAGCTGGGCACTTAAACTCGTGGGGTGGAAAGGTTACTGGAAAGGTTGGCTGTGCACTAAAAAATTCACCCTTTTACTGACCTTGGCAACTTCGTGTAGGCGTAGGCTTTCTAAGGAGTCTGAAAGGTTGATCCCACTTAACTTACCATTAATGTGTGTACTGTAGGGTTGAATATAAACAACTTCAAAGTTTAGCATGCTTGTTCTTGATTTTCATCTCATTAATAATAACTGTCTATTATAAAGCATTTTGTAAAGGAAAAATGCAGGGCCAACTTGATGCACATAAAATTATGGGTCCCGAGCTGAGCAACACCATGCAGGGGTGAGATCTTACTGTCATGCCAGAGGGCTCCAGGAACCCATCCACTGGGTGCTCAATGGTAATTGTAAAACTGAATAGAACAGAGCAGTTACTAGTAAATGGATAGAGAACATTGGGTAAATCCATCCTTTGCTCATATCTGGAGTATTTTGCATGAGCCTTTTTCCCCCTTGCTTGATATGCAGGAGGACTTTGTGGAACTGGAGGTGGTTCAGAGGAGAACAAAAAGGAGCGATCAAAAGTATAGCATGGCTCCATATGTGGGAATGGCTAATGGAGAGGGGCAACTCAAACTGGGGAGGCTCCGTGAAGTCATGCACAGCAGAGGGAGGAAGTGCAGAGATGAGTTTTTGGTTTCTCCTTCCAATACGAGAACTAGGGGCCATCAAATGAAGCTAATAGGAGGCAGATCTGAAACAACATGACATGTTCATGTGCTTTTTAAAGGGGTATGGCTAGAAACTCATGGTAGATAAATCTGTTGAAGGTTACAAGACACATAGAGACCAGGTTTAGATCAGGAACCCTCCGAACAGCAAATAACTGGAAGCTGGAAGAACACAGAAGGAGAGTATCACATGTCTTCCCTGGGCATCTCCATTTGGCAGCTGTCAGAGGTAGGACACTGGGCAGGTAGATCTTCGGCCTGACCCAGTTCTGAGCCTCTCCTGTTCTAAGAAAAAATCAAGAGCATATAATTGTGCATAATACCAACTGTACCAGAGGTAGGCACAGGAAATATTTCTCCATCAGCTTTGAATATCTCACTTGTAGACTTGCTCTCAGTTACGGTGGGGTAACTCTCAGCTTCCATAGAATTACAGATGCTCCAAAGCATGGGACAGAGGGTGGGGGCAGAGGAAGGATAGTGTCAGTGAAAGAACTGTTGTCCTCCTTGGCACCCATATCCCTGCTGTTGAACTATACACTGCTCAGAGAGTGAGAATTTAGGCAGGAAGAGGTATGGATCACTTGATTTTTGGCACTAGACAAGGATAATGCACAGGTTTGTGAAGCTCTTTCAAAACTAGTAGTAGAAATGTTTTGCTAATCCTTTAGTGACAAGGAGCCAGTATTAAATTCGGGGAATATTAAATATTTGCTTTGTTGGCAAAGGAGCATGAGTGGGTGAGGGCCTGCAAAGAGAAAGGGAACAAATACCGAAAAGGCCAGACGTCAAGGGTAAAACTAATTTAACAATACTACAGAATTTGTTTGAGATGGTATAAGTATGATGGATGAATCATACTTTCTGGAACGTATCAGCAGGTAACATATCTTGTATGAAGTTTTATGAAACATTTTAAAGACTCTGATTCTTCTTGGGAAACACTTAAGTCTCAGCTACAAAACTCTGTGTCTCATTATGTTTTCTGAATGCCTCTTCCCTGATTATTTTTGTAATTGGCATTCGTTTGCAGGAAAATGCCATGCTGCTTTCTTGGGCTGTACCTTTCTTCTTTGGTTTTTACTAGAAAGCATCGTTATACTTTGCTGTAACCTAAAATCACGAGGGTCACCACTCAGCAATGGCACAACAAAAGACTGTCAAATACACTAAGCTTGCTCCACATGCCCATCAAAGTCAGTGACAAAACTCCCGCTTGCTACAATGAAAAGGGTAGGATAAGACCAAAATGTACCTCCTTTCATTGGGAGTAAACTGGAATTAGGCACAGCTTAATTAGGAAAACTAGGAATTAGGCTGCAGCTTAGGATATAATGCTATGACTTCAGATGAAGAGTAAGCAAACTTGACAAACTTCAACCACAAGTTATGTTTCTTAATGGCTCACGGTGTGTTTTTAATTATAAGGCTACATAATTGAAGGGAAATGATATTGGGGAAATGAGCCAAATTTATACCTTTTTAGAACATTGGTTTTGAAGAGAAATTGAGTATATTGCCTTCTGTTTGTATCAGCAAGATTGCTTATTAACAGTTTGTTTTTAAAATGTCAGTTTAGCATTATCAAATACCTTTGTTCTGCTGTGGGTGAAGATGAGAGGTTTTACATCTCTGATGGTGATGAGAGGTGAAAATTGTGTATTTTGAACTCATGTGAATCTGGTTTATTTGGATGGGCATATAAACAGTTTGTTTAAAGAATATGTAGCTCACTAAGAATATCAGTATTAATTATACTGGTAGCCTTTAAGTGTTATAATATGCATTGGTGTCTCTAACCTCCTCCTTCTCACAGCAGGGCTCCCTCCTTAGCTAGATTGCTGCATCGTAATCCCAAATTTTCCCATCTTAATTCATATTCTGGACTTTCTCCCCCGACCATTGCCATGCCTTTGTTCTAACTCTTTTTTCCATGTTGGTGAGAATTGTCGGATAGTTGGTTGTATTCCAGGAGCTCTTTGTTGCCTCATGGGTGTTGTGTACATCCTTACGCAGTCAATGCCTTGAAATGCCGCCTGAACAGCGGTATGAAGTCTGAAGATAGCTTGCATTTTGTGTTGAATGTCATATTCAGCAAGCTTAAAGGGGTATTCTGCTGCCATTTGAGTATCATTTCTAATCACCCCAGTCTTCTTGACCTCCAGTAAATTAGAGTTTGGAGGGCTGGCCAGACAGAGGGCTTTTTGCCTGGTGGCTGGAACTGTGCAAACACTTTCCTCCTTTCTTCTTTCAGTGGTGAAAGTGGTGCTGGTAAGACGGAAAGCACTAAGCTGATTCTCAAGTTCTTGTCTGCAATGAGCCAACATTCGCTGGAGCTGTCCTGCAGAGAGAAGACCTCCTGTGTGGAGCAAGCTATTCTTGAGAGCAGGTACTAGATCTTCCAATACACAGGTATTTTTTCCGGAAGACATAAGCCTCGTCATTGAAATAAGAGCTTGCAATGTAATGGAAGATGTGGGTGTGTTTACTGAACAATAAAATGAATATTGGAAAGAGGGAAATTTTCCATTAAACAAAATTACCTGGCTGCTCTAGCGAGTTGTGAGCACAGTGGGATATCTTAATGAAGCAAAAAGAAGCAGAGTTTTGAAATGGACAACGCTTTAGTGGTGGCTTTCATTTTTGTTTGGGGCTGAATTCAGATAATCAGGGTGAGGGAAATGGGTGATGGGAGGGAGAAATCATTGGTTTGGTTTGTGTAGCCTGAGGATGAGGTAGAACAAGATACAGCACGGTGAGGATAAAGTGTGCAAGTGGTAAAAGCGTGCTGAGGAAAGGGAGGATAAGGAGAACTGGTAAGACAGATGAGTAAATGCATCAGATAAATTGGACACACTCTATGCAAGCAAAAAGAAATCTCTCAGTGTTCAAATGAAATAACACTATTTAAAACTATTTAAAAACAACGACAATTTGAGATGCTATTACTTTTGTTCATCATCTCTGTTTTACCTGCTGTATCTTCAGGTAATTATTTTTTTTAATTGCCTTAGAACAGGGACTATTTTCAAAAAAATTACATGTGCTGAGATTTCTTATTTGTATAATTTGAGTACTGCAGTGAGAATTGCGTGCATCTTTTGAGCAGTTACAGATTAAGCTGCAGAAGTAGTTTAGTACAATTAATCTTCCTGTTGCTTGAATACTTGCATCTTTTGACAGAAAATTGAGATGCCCGTTGTTAATAAATGGAGGATAATACTGAGGATGTAGGGTTTGGCTGAGGAGGGTGTCAGGAGTGAGCTTTTCAGAGTGCTATTCCTTTCACCAGTCCCATGTGAAACTGTTGGCACGCTGGTCACACGTTAACGCTCTTGTCGTTCTTCTGTATTTTCACAGCCCAATTATGGAAGCTTTTGGCAACGCGAAGACTGTTTACAACAACAACTCAAGTCGCTTTGGAAAGTTTATTCAGCTGAACATCTGTCAGAAAGGAAACATTCAGGGAGGAAGAATTATAGATTGTATCCTCGTTTGGTGATTTTACCCCTATTTGTGGGCAGCCCCCACGTACCTTCTCTGTGGAGGGCTGAGAGAGAAGTGGCTCACCTTTGTCTGTCCTTTCACCCCATCCTGAAACATACACAATTAAATTGAGCTGATGTAGGCGGGAAAGGGAAGCAGTAACACCAAATTCTGCGTGTGTTTGTGCACACGCACATGTGCATTTGTGGTGGGGTGGGTTGTATATACTCTCGGAGGACCAGGATTTTGTATTGCTTCTGCTAGCGTGGCTCATGTGCATGTTCCTCTGTAGTGAGCTAAAACAGCCTGAGTTCTTGGGGATAACTTCCGTTGTCAGCTATTTGCCCCATTTATTATATCTAAACTGCTTAGTTTCTGGAAAAGTACTTGAAAGAGCAGAGCTGCTGAATTTCTGCAGGATGAGCATGGGTCTGTCAAATCCTTGGATTTGTCCTCCATTTGGCAAAATTGGTCTATGAGCCAGCTCCACCAGAGCACCAGAGGTGTGGGGATGAGGAATATACCAAGGTGATCCTACCTAGTATTTTGAACATAAGCTGCTTTTGCAGTGGCACAAATTTAATCCTTAGAGCTCTTCCCAAGCTTTAGGGAAAAGTAAAGGAAAGCAGATGCTGTTTAAAATCCAGAACATGACAAGTCCAGTTTTGATGGGATGGAGGAGAAGGAGGTGTGGGAACACATTGGTATTAGAACTGCTGCAATATTGTCTTTGTTGCCACTTTATTCATCCTGTTACGGCAGTAGGCAGGTTGTAAGAAAAGACCATGATGCTTTTCCCATTGTCTCAAATGAAAGAATTAAGGAAGATTATAAATAGCTTGTGCATTAATTGCTTTTTACTTTATTCCTTGACTGAAGTTTTTCTTCCTGGCTATAGATTTATTGGAAAAGGTAAGTTGATGTTTGCTTTTGCTCAGTTAATTTTGTTTGATTTAATATTTTCTTTGAAATTGTGGATAAAAAAATTCTCCTTAAAAATGATTGCTTAAATGGAAACTATTCTTTACTTTGACAGAATCGTGTAGTAAGACAAAACCCCGGGGAAAGAAATTATCATATATTCTATGCTCTGCTGGCAGGGATAGAAGAGAGAGAGAAAGGTGAGTGGCAAAGCACAAGTCACACAACTGTAGTCGCTCTCTGCTAGCAGTCAGCCATGGTGACAGCAGTGGAGAATTTAACTGCAGATACCTGCTAACCCAAGCAGAGAAATAGGTTATTTATTCAGCCAGGATTCAATGAGTGTGATTTTGAGCTCAGCTTGATAAAGCAACCTGCTTAGTTGAAGAATGTCACCGAGCTGCCGGTAATTTTTCTCCCAGCTTCCGCTGTGGCCCTGGGAAAATTGGTTGGGGACAAACATGCTTCATTCTGTTCAAGCTGAATATTTTTGCTGGTACTAAATAACTCCACAGCAACAAAGAGAAATAATTCTGGTTCCTCTAATTCTCTCTCATAAAGAATAAATCCACTGAACAAAAGAAATGACATTTGTATATGTGCAAAATTGCCTAAAGCTGTCTCAGCATCTCCCTTTGGGCCTGCTGTCTTTGCATGCTAGAAGTAGAGTTAACTCCATTGTGCAGCTAAATAAAGCAAAAAACCAGCAAAATAAAACCCCATATCTGATTTTAATATAAAACTTTGTTTTGTGCATCATAATTTCTGAGCAAATGCATTGTGAATTATTTAACTTGGACATAGTAATTTGTGGAGTGGTTTTGTTTTGGGTTTTTTTTTTTTTCACTCATCCTCTTTTCTCTCCTCATTAGATGTTTTTTACTTATCTGTACCGGAGAACTACCACTACCTGAATCAGTCTGGATGTATAGTGGATAAGACAATCAGTGACAAAGATTCTTTCAAGGAAGTCATTGTGAGTTGTTTTCCTAGTTCTTTATGCTTTAAAAATGCTGGAAGTGCAGGCGCCTGGGGCCCCTTGACAGAGCAGGGGACAAAGCTTTCTTTCTTGTGCTTACCTGCACTCTCTGCCATTCTGGCTCTATGTGCAGCTCTCTCAGAAGAACTAAGCTTACAGGGACGTAAATTTTCTCATAACATTTCACTGTCATTTTGAGCATGTCTTTACCTTCCTTACCAATACTTGATTTTTACTCCATCATTTCAAAGTGTGCTATAATTTGGTGAAATGATTAAGTTCTGAAATGAAAAGAATATCAGTTAGAAAGACAGTAAGGCATTTACATGCCTTTGCCCTTCCTTGCATTGTTATATATTACAGGTGTGTCTGCTTCCACAGTTTTTCCGTCCTAAAGCTTTGCCCAGATCATGTAGCATCGATGGGCTTGAGTCCTCAGTGCAGCACATGGGGCGCGAAGCACCTGGGCTTTGGTGACTCGTTAAGTTGCAGCTGGGAAATCCAGTTGTATGGAGTAACTTACACAATAGAGCTGAAGAAAATGTAAACGTAGATTAAAAACCAGGTCCTGGTGGAGTCTTTCTCTGAATGGCTTTATGTCTTATACCTACACCAATTACCTATACTGACTGTTAGGATAATAGCTAATTGCTTATATCACCGAGGTGATATATGTTAGATTTTAAAAACAGTAAAAATAATGGTTTTTATGCTCTTCACCAAACTATTTTTGCCTAGATATGTTAATCTCTTTGCCAAATGGACAAATGAATGTTTAGTGGATGCAGCAGTTATTTTTAGTGTAAAACATCCTCATCTAGTATGGTGGGGGCAGAGGGGTGTTGGAAAAGTTGCTGACTTATCTACATTATAGTCACATGGCTTAAGCTGATTAGCGTGACATTTAATTTGTGCTAATCATCCCAGGGTTGGCAGAGCATGAAATCAGCTGGGCAGGTGATGCTTGCGTGCTGCCCGCAGCGTGGGCAGGCTTGGAGCAGGGGCTGAGGTGGCCAGGCTGCGTTCCCAGAGCGGCAGGCGGGCAGAAACCCCGCAGTTCTCCCTCGCCTGTCTTTTCCTATTATAGTCATCCCCTTTGCCTATTTTTATTGTGGTTTAAGTCCTGGAAATGTTACTTAAGTGAAACTTTTGTGGGAGGCAGGGAGGAACTGCATGGTGAGCGTGGAGATGAACTCACAGTGCTGCAGCCTTTCTTAGAGCTCTGTTGTGAAAGGTCTTCTGTGCAAAATGCACCTTCAACCTTTAAATGTTCTCTACTTCTAATTGTAGGATAAGTCTGAGGCTTTTCCATTGGTAACTGATGATTTATGAAAGATAAAATGTGTCATGTGTCATCTGTCAGACACCTGCAGTGACCATAACTTGATGAGTCTGACTGAAAGGGTGTAAAACTGTGATCTGGTCTCAGACAGGCTCATATTAGACCCAAATTTGGGAAATTCTGATAATTTCCAGAGGCATGCAATTACTTACCCCTTCTGTGTCAGAGAAAGGTGTATGTTCCTCTTCTTGTTTTAAAGTTTCTTTAGATAGAGATTTGCCATTCTCCTTGTTACATAGTTGAGCTTTGATGATTGCCATAGTGCTTATTCATAAATCCAAAACTTTTTATATAGATCTCTTTTTCTTGCTCAGTTTTGCTGTAAGATGTCAGACCACACGGGTAAAATGTGTGTTTAGGCTTCACGGCTTGCCCAGAATATGCTGCAGAAGGCCCTCTCTGAATTCTCCGTGGCTGAAACAACAAATGAGCAAATCTTACATGCTGCAGTGTTTCCTTCCCCATGCCTTGTTTTGCCTACAAGGCTAATTGGCAAAATTTGGTAAAAACACAGAAGAGGGTATCAGTTACTCATGCAAATCAGTGAAACTGCGTCTGATGCACAACTCAGTGGGGCATTTCAGTGTTTATACAGAATTTGAAAGCAAATTACAGGATTCTTACAGCATCTAAAGGAGATTTCTTAAAACCAGAGTGATACTTGCATGTTCCAGGTTGTACCCGTGTTGTATTATGGTGTATTTGATTTGGGAGGAAACCAAAGGAATTAACTCCTGCCAGCCTTCTGTCGGTCCTGACTTGCATTTCTAAGGCCTGACAACACCATTGGTGGGTTTGTCCTTGTCCCCATTTTTGAGTCAGTGTGCGTGTTGTTGTCATTCCAGACTGCAATGGAAGTGATGCAGTTCAGCAAGGAGGAGGTGCGAGAAGTTTTGAGGCTGTTGGCTGGCATTTTGCATCTAGGAAATGTTGAGTTCATCACCGCTGGAGGGGCACAGGTGTCCTTTAAAACAGGTGAGAAGGCTGTGCTTCCTCGTAGTATGTAAATGTTTCTTGAGGTTGTGAAAGTTATATTCATTGCTAGTATATCTGACCATAGCAAGAACAAACAGTGAAAGGGTCTTACTGCTTTTTAGCATCTGTAAATGTTGATTAAAATGTTATTTTGGGGTTTTTTTTGACAGATAAAGCAAATTAGTTCGCTGCTGGATGCTCGGTCTTAATTAGGGAAGACTTTAGGCACGTGTTTATTCTGTTAATAGTAGTGAAATTCCATTTTAATCTAATTCCTTCTTTGAAATATTCTCAAGCTGATAAAACATAAGTGCTCAAGTACTTTCCTTAACTGAGATCTCCACTGAAGGTATCTTTTGTTAGAGCTTTCAATACCTCAATTACAAATATGAAAGTATGTGCTGGTATGTCTAAAGATTGGGCTGGCGAGCTTTTTAAATGTTTGTTCAAATATGGCAATAAAGAGTAGCATTACATACTGCTTTATATACCACATTACAGCAAAATTGCAAATTAAATTATACGTGTAAGAAAAAAATTTCATTGGTTTGCTTTATCCTCATCATCCTGAGGGAAGCTGAAACACATTCATGTGGACAAAGAATGAGTTACTGTTTGTACCTGGAAAAATGTTAGTGTAAGCAGTAGATTGTTTGAATCCTTGACATGTAATATTAAGAGGAAAACAAATATTTGTGACTTACTTGTGATGAATTTCTACTGCTAAATTCCTTCAGTTGTGCATATTTATGATACTGTGCCTTTTCATGAGCAGCAAAAACATATCCTAGAGTTTCTACTTGTGTTTTTATCTCCAATCCCCATCATTTTAGAAGCATCTTAAATGATGGTAATAATAATAATAATAATAATTGGTTTCATAGCCTTATACATTTAAGGATGTATTTGTATTTGTCTCTTTCTTTTGCCAGCTCTGGGTAGATCTGCTGAACTACTGGGGTTGGACGCCACACAGCTAACTGAAGCGTTGACACAGAGGTCAATGATACTCAGGGGAGAAGAAATCCTAACACCTCTTAGTATACAACAGGTAAAAGCATCTCAGTTTTGACATGTTTTTAGGGTCGGTTAAATATATGGCTCAGACTTCGAGTCCAGTGAAATCACTGGTTGCTCAGAAACAGAAGTTTAGATCATGCATCAGAGTTGTTATCAAAAATACTACATAGTTTTTTGGGAAGGGTAATTGAACTTCTAGAAATTTCTGTATATCCCATCCTATCATTCTGAACAGGGCTTGTAGCTTGGCTCTTATTAAGCCTGATTGCTTATCATTTTTTTCCAAATTCTAATCATGTAGGCTGGTATTTTTCATTATGGACATTTGTGTCAGGTGGGCATTTTTGAAAATTTTCAGCAAAAATAATTTTATTATTTACAAGAAGGGGATTAGAAAAGGGTATGCATAACATTATGCTTACCTCTAGAAAGGGGTAAATTAAGGTGTTATTTCCTACCCTTCTCTTTTCTTCCTCCGCGCCTTAAGTTTATAATTTCCTAATTTTTGAATGCTTTAGTTTTGAAATGTAATTTTAAAGCCACATAGGTGTACAGCTGTTATAAGTTACACAGTTAAAGCTTAAATCGGGACTCTGTAACTGTTAATACACTTGCTGTCAGGGTACATGGGAATACAAACCTGCTTGCATTATACATTGCTTTATGCTGTGCAAGGAACGCTGACCAGCAAAGTCTGGTAAGTTTTCAGTTACAGGGGTGATTGATGGGTTGTGTGTTCCTTCTTTAATACAGGCAATAGACAGCAGAGATTCTATGGCTATGGCACTTTATTCTCAGTGTTTTGCTTGGGTTATTAAGAAAATCAACAGCAGAATCAGAAGCAAGGAAGACTTCAAGTCCATTGGAATTTTGGACATATTTGGATTTGAAAACTTTGAGGTAGGTTTCAAAAGTTTGTTCAGATGGATTGTCTAATATTTATGCTTCATCGTTCTACGTATCTTTGTCATCTTCACTGGAACTTGATTATTAAACTTGTTATGACTTAAACCAGTTCCTTGTTTGCAAAGTTAAATACTTGGAGCGTGTGCATTTTTGAAAATTTCTTGTCTCTTTAGGTAAACCGTTTTGAGCAGTTCAATATTAACTATGCAAATGAAAAGCTTCAGGAATATTTCAACAAGCACATATTTTCCTTGGAGCAACTGGAATACAGCAGGTAAGACATACAGATGAAATTTGAAAGAATTTTTAAAATATCAGTGTTCAGTTGAAATCTGCGTTCCCAGCTATCTTTGCTTCCTTTGAAAATCTCCTAGTCTGGGGCTGTGCTTTTTCTAAAAGTAAGCTGATTTTGCTGTATTTCACAAGACAAATACATCAGCTCCTCCTATTTCTATATTTAAAAACTTTTCTTTGTAGTTGTCAATAAAAAGGCTCTCCTTACTTTCCTTAGGGAAGGACTAGTTTGGGAGGATATTGACTGGACAGACAATGGAGAGTGCTTGGATCTTATTGAAAAGGTAATAAAGAATTTGATACCAGTACCCGTTTCTAGTTTTTGTTCTGAGGTGGTATGTTTTTAAAACACCTGCCAACACAAAGAACAAGTGAAGAGAATGGTGGCTCTTGCATGTTTAAATAGTGATCTTTTAATCAAGCCATCTTCCTGCATGGACATATTCTACATTCTATCGTAAGCTCAATATACTCATCTTTCCTTGTAGTAACTTTTAACAGAGTACGATTATATCCAAAAGCAATATTTGGAGATGACTAAAAAGAACAGAAAGAGGGGGCACAAAGAAGGACAGTGTGTTGCTCCTGTAATGGCTTTTCCTGGGATGCGAGTAATCTTCATTTGTTTCCTGCCAATTTTTGCTTCATCTGTCATTTTGTTTGTGCTCTGATTTGTACTAAAGAAAGATGCAAAAGAGCTTGAAGTTTCTGCTGAGTTTTTGGTAGGAACGTTAGCGGTGGCAGGCAGATGAGGTCTAATTTCACCACCTAGAAATGATAACTCTGGCTGGATGACAAAGCCAAAGTTATATATAGTTTCATCCGTGTTCACTTCTGCCAGCAGTACAAGCGGGCTGCGTGCATTTATCTCCGTAGCGGGGTGTGTAGCTGTATGAGTTTAAACGATCACAGAAACTCATGGCAGCAGGCAAGGGATCCGGCTTGTGTGGTTTGTCAGGAGCTGCTCTGGGCCGATGGGAAGTGGCTTATTAAAACGTGCACCTGGAGAACCGTGTTTTTCTGAGAGGCTGTATCAACCTGGAGCTGGCTGGACACATTCATTAACTGCAGGGTAGCTTGCTGTGTTTACAACCTCTTCTAGTATGAGAAGTGGGGAACATGAAAGGAGACTAGAGAGAGGCATATGCAAAGCAAAGGAAAGGTTGTGTTTCACACAGCGCGTAGGTAAACTGTGTGTCTTTTGCTGTGCCCCTGGGTACTCTGCTAAAAGTTTGCATTGGTTCAACAATTAAGTAGATAATTTTATGGAAGAAAAATTTTTGAAAGGCTGTTTACACAAACTCCTCAGACTTAAGGGACTTCTGGTCATTGGAGATCTTGGAGGCTGGGGATATATTCTGGGGCAGTCTCATTGTATGCACCTAAAAACTCCCTTCATCAGGAGAACTGTTGCTTCTTCCAGTAGCTTCTTTTTCTTTATTTTGCCGATGTGTCATATGCTGTATGTTTCACAAGGAAACAGAAAAATAGGATTGCAGTCCTCTGTGCGAGTGGGTTTTTAGTCATGTACGGGTGGTTTTGCGCCTCTCTGCACACAATAACTCCAAGAACTTTGTGGTTTTTCCAAACTGGGGACAAGGTCTGTGTCCATCTGTGTGCTAATTTATCTTCTGCTTGTTCTTGCTGTTCTAGAAACTGGGTCTGCTGGCGCTCATCAATGAAGAGAGCCATTTTCCTCAAGCTACTGACTCCACCTTGCTGGAGAAGTTGAATACCCAGCATGCTGTATGTGATGTTTTGCTCATGTATTCTGTGCAAATTATGGAGGGTCTCTTTGCTTCTATAGAAATTAATCATTCAAATATATGGGCGCATAGTTATAGAGGCTGTTTTGGATGGGATCCTATTTCCATGGCAATCCATATCATTTGCTGTCAAGACTGAGTCAGTTACCTGGAAGAACATATCCTTGTTACTGTCCAGTTAAAGATTTCCTATTGGTGAATAAGACAAATTCTGCTCTTAGAGCTCTGACAACCTGCAGTAACTCAGATTACTTAGATCTTCAATTTCCCGTGATTTAATGAAGTATTCATGTTGATGTCATTTACCAAAAGGTTGCCTTTTCCTCTGTCCAGATTAGTGTTACGTTTATTTCTGATCCTAGAATTACTTTTGAGAATTTCTGGGATACAAGCATCTGTCCACCAATCTTCATAAATGCCAGTTTAAGACAGAGCCTTCTTTTCCAAAGTCCCTTTAATAGATAGTTCTGCCAGATGGGTTCAGGTTTAGTATAATGCCTTTTTAGATACTATAGATTTGTTACTACTGCATTTGAAGCAGCCCAGACTAATAAAGCCTATTATCGTTACAAGTTGGTTGTTTGCTTTCGGAGCGCTAATCTTCCGTGGAGTTCACTGGAAGACAATGGTTCATTTAGATCTGGGTTGAGAGGATAATGTGATCCTTTGTATCATTCCACTCCCTGACACCCCCGCCCCCAAATATTTCTCTCTTTTCTTTCCCCTCCAATTAGAACAATCCTTTTTATGTAAAACCGAGAGTTGCCGTTCACAACTTTGGAGTGAAGCACTACGCTGGGGAGGTAATTTTCTTTTCTTTATTTGCTGAAATTATTCCAGAGTTTTCATTAGCTTAACTTTACCCTGAGGCTGCTCAAAATTAACTAAAGCACTCTGTTCCCTCAGTGCTTTTTACAGTACCACTGTTGTGAGAGGTGCCTGACTACTTGGCTTGTTGTTTGAATCAGCTCTGTTTCCTGCTAGGTCCAGTATGATGTCAGGGGGATCTTGGAGAAGAACAGAGATACTTTCAGAGACGATCTCCTGAACTTGTTACGTGAAAGCAGGTACGTTTCTGTGATTTTTGTTTAGGACGTGATGTTAAGGGGTGTCGTATCACCTAATTCTGCCAGGATGTTAGGTGTTGCATAGCGTCAGACCTTGACAGAGTTGAAAGGAGCGTAGAAGAAATATCAGAGATGCCTGTAAGCAGATCTGACTGTAATCGGTTCTCACTCAAGGGTTCTCCCACATTGTACAGTACCTTGTCCCTGTTCAGTCCAGGGGCTTGCTACTCAGTGGTGGGTAAGGATGCTGAAAGCTGGTGATGTTTTTTAGCTGTTTCAGAGTGCCTCATAAGCAGCGTGCATGCATGGGTTTTTTGCTTCATATGGAGCCTGATTTGCTTGTGTTTCTGGCATTCCCTAATTTGGGTGAAAGCGTAGTGTCAGGGACCTACCACAGTGCAAACTGCCATGTAGTAATTGCTAAAAAGGGAGAATTTCTATAAAGATTTATGTTACTGAAAGTCTGAGCTTGCATGTCTTTGGTACCTGCATGCCTCCTGTCATTCTGCTGTGTGAGGTCTCAGGATCCTTACAGTGATACGCTGTGAGCCAGAGGGGTACCACGTCCCTTTCTGTAGGTGTATGGTTGAGACTCCAAGGACACACAGAGGGGTGACAGAAGAGGAGGGAGCTGAGCCCGGGTGTTGCTGTCTTGGCTGCTGCCCTCACCCGTCCCATCCAGTAATCCTGCCTTGCTGTGGGAGTTGCTTGTTTGTAAATCCCTTAAGCCCTTCTGTGCAGGGGAAACTGTTAATAAGCATTTCCCGCTCTGTGTTGTTTGTTCTGGTTTCATGACGTATCTGACGTAACATCTGTCAATTGAAGTATGGAGGTAAAAGTAATAAATGAGTTAAAGCTGCTGGGCCTGGTGTTGTTCTTGCACCAACATCTGTCTGGAGCGACTTCATTTAAGTTAAAAGGTCTGCATTTCTGCAGAAGTGGTAAGAGGAGGATACCAGATTGATAGTGTAGAAAATAGCATGCACAGCTTCTATCTGAAAGTGAAGCTCATGTGGGTGGTCATTTTGTCTTATGGCCCCAACAAACTGCAAGTCTTGGTTTTTAGTCTTTATTCAGGTACAGTTCCCATTACAGTCAGCTGGAGTTTTGGTTGAGTGAGTGGAGTAAAATGCAGTAAGGGCTCTAGCACTTCACACTTCATTTCCCTAATGATGTGTTGGGAGTGGAGAAGAAAGAACCTCCTTGTTTTGTTTTGCTATGGTTTGGTTTGGGTTTTTTTTCTCCGCTGCATAAATTCTGCAAAGGCAAAATCTGCTGCTTATTAAAGATTATGGAGAAAATCAATGGATGGAGGAGCTGCTTTCTAAGGGACAGTGCTATCTTTGCACTCTGTAGTGGTAGACCTTGTAGTCTGTTAAGATATGTTTTAGAGATTTGCTTTTTCCTTCCCATTTCAGTCTTGATTTCATCTATGATCTATTTGAACATGTTTCAAGTCGCAACAATCAAGACACTCTTAAATGTGGAAGCAAGCACCGAAAACCCACCGTCAGTCTCCAGTTCAAGGTTAGTTAATGTGTCGTCTCTGCTCTGTAGCTAATCAGTGATAGATAAACCCTGTGTTCAGTAAGGAACAGTTGCAGATTAAAACAAGCAAAACTTCAGCATCCAAACATTGCTGTCTCTTCTGTGAAACTGCACTACCTGATCAATTGATTGGCCATACTAACTAGCTTCAAGCAGAAACTAACCTTCACACCATACACACAAAACTGCTTTTGCTTTCCATTTGTTTACTTGTTCTTATTTTAAAGCTCATCTGTGAAGCTGGTCTCTCTGGTCTTGGTTTTCCTTTCTAATCTAAAATCAACCACGAAATGGCACAAAGCCTTACAGCAGTGCTGTATGCTAAGAAAAATAAATACTGAATAAATACCTCATTAAGGTGTTGTCTTGCTTTTTAACTTAAAGTTTGGAAAGCATTTTTATTAATGAGGCTTTATAGCCCTGCCATCAAAAATGGTACCGAATTGAAATCTAGCATAAAGTCTATCTGCAAATTATTTAAAAGAGAAAGATTGGCAGAAAACCTTCTCTAAATTGCATGAGTACAAGTCTGGATTAGTTGTCTTTCATTTTGTTTGATTTAATATACATTTGCACTGTTAATTCACTTTTTTTAAAAAAGGGAGCAGACTCAAACCCCTCGAGGGCAGATTTTATCCTAATAGACTATTGCTAACTGTTGGACAGCACAGCAAGGAATAAATGCCGGGGCACATACAGTGTCTTTTATTAAGAAACACTAATGTTATATTCCCTGGACAGCTTGCTTTGTGCTGCCATCGCTCGTCTCAGACACAACCCACTTCTTGTCATGAGGTGGTATTACTTGCTAGCTGTCCGGGATAGCAAAGGTACTGTTTCCACTTAGTCTTTGTACTGTGCAAAGTAGGCCTTTAAGATTAAGGATTAAGACCCTTAAAATACGTTACCGTATTAAAATTGACCATATTTTTGCACCTGCTTTGCAAGGTGGAACACAACGTAGAGTTCCTTCTCTTCTCCATCAGGGCCTCTGGCTAGCATAAAGCATGATAAAACATGAAATCAAAATATTGTTGCCTCTTACCTAAAGCTGCAGTAACTGCCCATTAACCAGCTGAGCCGCTTTACAAGAGGTTGACCTTCACATCATCCTGTTACCAAAGAATTAGGTTGGGTGTTTTTTCCATGTTTTAAAGCTTCCCAGGGATTAGTCCATCCCATTTCAACTGAAGATAAGAACTTCGCCTTCAAATTTTTATTTTCATGATAAGTTGGTTAACTCTTCATTTGACAGCCTGCCTAATGCCGGCCTGGGGGTGCACACAGAATAGTGGAGGTTGTTTACCATCTGCTTCAGCCTATTGCTTAAAGCAGGACAAACTTCAGATTAGCTCGTCGCCTGACCAGTAACTTAGAGGCATTCAGCACCGTGCAGAATCTGGCTGTCTGCACTGCAGATGGATGGGAAAACGGATTAAATAATTTTTGTTTAGACTGACCAACTTTTCCAATCTGTGTTAAGTAGTAGCCTGTGTTGCTAAAAGTCTGAGAATTGGCTTGGTTGTCTGTAGATGTTGTAATATTCACACAGGTTTAATACAGATGAAGCCTTTACTTTTTGAAGACATAAATATTTGTCTTTACACAAAAATATTTGTCTTTGTATCTTCTGGCTGCTTAATGTTTGCTTCCCCTGACTCCTGGTCTATAGGCTGGCAAAGGCAAACGATCCAAGAACTATCATTTATGTTGCCAGTGACTTCACCATTTGCTCCCTTGGCTCTGTCCTGTTGCCTTTATCGCTTCATGTTTAATCATCAAGAAAGCCCTTGGTTTGCAGATTAAAGCAAGAATTTATTGTAACAGACTGCCATTGGCAGTTTCGCTCCAAAACATATGGTAGGACACACAGCGTTGCTCCTTTAAAAAGGAAATCTTCTGTCTCCTCAGCAGCCTGCTCTGTGTTCTCTCTGCTGCCTGGCACCCAGTGCCACCTTTGAGGGGTGAAACACTATCATTGCTAGCTTTCTGGGCTCTCCAGAGCCTGGGCTCTGCTCCTGTACAGTCATTTGTACCTCTGCAAAGTAAATGCAAGACTTCAGTTTAACATGGTTTATCATACTTAATGATACAGAATGAGGCAAGTTGGAATAAGGTATGGAATGACGGCTCAGGAGGGAAAGGGGCGGATGTGTAATTAAAGTAATAATCATAAAAGGACTGAGGGATTTTTGTGATTTTTATCTCCAGGCTGAGGTTCAGACAACTGATAGTCTAATGTGTATTGGGTCATTCAGAGTTCTAAAACTAGGAAAAGCGCCATGTTTTCTTCTTTTTTTTTTAACTGAACCTTATAATTTCTCTTTTTATTGTTAAACGCAATTAGCTATCACATGAAATAACTGTGAAACTGTCTGCTTAATGCTGTTAGCATTGTCTTTCAGTAAGATGTGTTTTCTTTACCACCCTATCCTTTACTCAATTTTTGTTAATTTTGGGAGTGTTCTAAAATCTAGTTTTGATAAAACAACGGCTACTGTATTCTAAAGTAATTCTTTTTTCATAAATTGTTATCATTTTTTCTACCCTCTTGTTGATGTACATTTATTATCAGAGTGTCCTTTTAGTAAGAAAGGTTGAGACCGCAGAGGAGAGAGGAAATCCCTGTACACAAAATGCTGCTGATGGCAGGGAAAATGGAAAATGAGTGGGTATGGGGTGGTTGAAATGAAAAGAGGAGAACTAGTTTTGTGGTTACTTCAGTTTTACCTTAGACCCCTTATCCTTCCTTGTGACTTGTAGCAATTTGGGAATGTGGATCCTAAGTCTTAAGCAGTCATTCAAAAGATCCCTGAAACAGCAACTTTTCAATTTGGTGTTTCCTTATGAACAGTTTTCTTCATAGCATTCTGTATATCTTGTTTATGTCTTGTTCACTGTAAAACAGGTATGGTAGTTTTGATCAGAGGGCCAGTGGAAGAAACAAATACACGTGTATTGATTCTGTATGTTCACCGTATAGCAAGAGCTTACATAGTATGGTAATTTCTGGTGTGAACCACTAGGTGTTGCAGTTAGATATTGTCTGCAATGCTAAGCTGCAAGAGCTTTTGCCCTGGGTATTTTGCTTGTACAAAAAGTCAGCTTGTGAAGTGCTGTCTTCTTTCTACCTGTGTTTTAGGAATCGCTTCATTCTTTAATGGCGACGCTGAGTTCTTCAAATCCTTTCTTTGTTCGGTGCATCAAACCCAACGTGCAGAAGGTAAGATTTAAAATCACGCCCGCCTTTTCTGTATGTCTCAGGCCTAATCTTTTGCTGCCTGTTTGGTTATTTACTGCTGTGTGAAGCAGAGGGTAACGTTCTTCCCTGACTTTGTAAAAGGCTCTGTGAGGTGAAGGCACTGGGAAAGGCTTTTGATTTTTTTGCAGGCGGGCTGTGTCTTTGGGCACCTTTTTAATAGTCATTGCTCACAACTCCGATAATTTGCTGGCTCTAAGGATGGTTATAAAAGGAAGGTAGAAGGCTGCACTGCACATTTGACAACTCTGTGAGAGCCTTTTTAGGAAGAAAATGTCAGAACTACAAAGTTTGTTTTAAATCACGATAGGAGATGAATGGTGGTGCATATAGCATAACTGGTGTGAATGACCAACTCTCTGTCATCAGACTCTTAGTCTTTCAATATATGTACAATACTAGGTGTCTTCATGCTGGCTGTTTTGTTGTGTTACAGACTTATGTTTTTAAGCTGAGGCCGGAGAGTTGTGGTGAACGGAGTTAAA